AGTACAGGATTGGAATCCTGCCAGTCTTGTAGGAGTACTTTGCACTTCGAAGGTGCAAAGCACATACCATACCTACGGACACTGATTGCCAACTGATTAAGTGCGGATTGCATGCCTTGGGCATTATCGCACAGTAAGACAATATCGTCCGCATACTCAAGGTCGAGAAGTCTTTCTCCAGGCAACAGATCCACACCACCATTACTTACATCCATCAGAGCTGTTTCCAGAATGTCATCGATGGCAAAGTTGAAGAGGAATGGTGAGATTGGGCAACCCTGTCTAACCCCACTGCTCGAATGGAACAATGGAGAGAGGTGGTTGTATGCCCTCACTCTGCCTGAGGTGTTTTTATACAGGGCTTTTAGGATGTTAATAAACTTCTCAGGCACACCCTTCTTCAATAGACAATCCCAGAGAACAGTCCTATCCAACGAATCGAACGCAGCCCTGATGTCAAGAAACACTACGATTGTTGGCCTTTGAAAAGTATGACGGTGTTCTAACATTTGGCGAAGGGTGAAGATATGATCAATACATCCTCGACCAGAACGAAACCCAGCCTGCTCCTCGCGAGTCAATCTTTCTCGGGTTTTGAACAACCTACGAAGAATGACGGAAGCCAATAGCTTGGACACAATCGGAAGTAAACTTATCCCCCGATAGTTATTACAAGAACGACGTGAACCCTTTTTAAAGATGGGGACAACTATCGACTCATTCCATGACGTTGGTACACTCTCTAGTTCCCAAACCTTTGTAAACAACGTCGTCAATTCCTTAGTCAAAAAGTCACCACCATCTTTAAAAAGAGCCGGAGGTAAGTCATCTGGGCCAGGTGATTTGTAACGCTTCAAGAGTTGGAGTTCCTTGCGGACTTCCTCCTCATTTGGTGGATCAGTCGTCACCGGCCATGGAGGGCAGGATAGTCTGATCGATGTTGCCGGAGCAGCAGGCCAGTTGAACTGCCCTTCGAAAAATTCTGCCCATCGTCGAAGACGTCGATGGATGCTAGTGATTGGCATCCAATCATCCTCGCAGATTGTTTTGCTCACACCAGACTTCTTGCTGCCAGTGGCTCGGATGAGTTGGAAGAGCTTCCGGTAGTTACCAGATGCAGCTGCCGCTTCCAGGCTTCTCGATCCTTACGCAAGCTTTGCCCAATTTCCTTACGTAACATCCGTCGTTTGTGGTCAAACTCACGGTTACGCGGAGTAGACCGACAGGCTTTGATGAGTTGTAAGGAACCTGAAGAAACCCAGTGCTTATAAGCTGGACGCTTCGCGAAGCCGCAAGCGGCTTTACTCGCCATTTTAAAGGTGTCATGAAGTTGCAGCCAATGCTCATCTATACTTTTCGGTGGAATGTTAGCTAGCCTAGAAGCTAGCTCGGTTCGATACTTACTTGCAACGGAAGTTGCAACCAACTTGCTGACATAAATCCTTTGGTGGCGGTCACTTCGTTGTCCACTGAAAAGTAAGGCAAGATTGGCACAGACCAGGTTATGATCAGAGTCCAGATAGGTACTCCAAAAGGAGCGGCAGTCTTGTACAAACCACGCCAGCGGTAGCTGATCGCTATGTGATCAATCTGAGTCCAGGCTTAGGATGCAGAGGGAGGACGCCAGGTGGCACATAGGCGATGACTGTACCGAAAGTTAGTGTTAGCCAAAAACAAGTTATGGTCTGTGTAGAGTTGCAGTAGACGGTCCCCGTTATCTGACCTGCAACCAACGAGTCCCCGTCAGCCACCTAAACGACTCTCTTCTGTGCCTAGACGCCCGACCTGAGCATTCAAGTCTCCAGCTAGTACTACAATATCTGTTGAACGCACTTTCTGGAGAAGAACAGATAACTGGTGGTAAAACTCATCCTTGATTGCATCCGGGCTGCAATCTGTGGGGCATAGGCGGATATGACGAAAAGACATCGTTTCTCATGCCGATTTCTTCTCACTTTGATTGAACTTTCTAATCTAACAGCACATAACCGACTGTTAATGGGGATCCAATCGATCAGTGCTGCCTCAGCTCCAGCGCTTAGTGCGACACTAAGACCAGACGAAGATGCCACAGGATCCCTCGATAAACGCACGTAAAACAAGCTTTTTGATGCGACAGACGGAGAGCGAATTTGTAGTACTTCACCAGTCTTGAATACGGGTCTCGGATAGACAACAAACGTTAATATTAAGACTTTTCAAAGACCATAGTTAGCCCTATCTGTTGTCCGACCGGCATAAGTGTGCGAACGTTGAAGGCAGCCAGATTGAATGGTGCATGTCGTTTAAGAAAAACTGCTTCAGTATTCGTATTTGGTGGTAGCATACAATTTTCAACCAGCCAGTGATTCGAGAACGTTTAGATAGAACCGAGTTTCCACCATAAGCGAGCTGCTGTACAAGTCGAAAAATAAGGTTACACAGAGTGGGAATAAAAGAGAGTGAATAAATGACGTAAATAATAATAATAACAATAATAGTAATAATAATAATGCGAACCGTTTGATTGTTAATCGAAGCATGTTAAGTATTTTTCATAAATATCGACATTTCATTATATTTGTGTATGGGCTGTGGTACTGCCCGGGTGCCCAGACCGAAGCAGGTGAGTTTCTTAGGGGGCCACACCCCGAACCTTTGACCTAAAGGTCTGACCCACAAGGCAGTGGAGCATCGTGAGTAGATGCAGTCCCACAGTAGCCATTGGCCAATGATTGGTTCATACGCCATTTGTTCCCGCAGTATACTGGAGCTCATGTGCACCATTGGTTTGGGATCCGGTTAAAGCGCCGGACACTCGGGTTTCGTCCTCTCATTTTCGTAAACTAAATCTACGTGGATAACCACTATTGGTAATTATCTGCTAGAACTGCATTAGTTTGACGAAAATTGTGTCGTCAGTATTAGTTCTTCTGAATTAAAGTGAGTCGGTTTCCTTTTTCTGCCCTATGGAAGCCACCTTTAAAAATCAGTGCACCAACTGTTTCACTTTGGCTCGGGATAACCGATGGAAATGGTTTAAGTTGTTTAAAGAGATCGTGACTAATGACTGAAACATCTGTCATCTTTTACGGAACATTTGTCAGGCTTTATTCAGTCTGTTTAGTCGTATATTTGGAGTACTGTTTTTAGAAAACTTGGCTATCTGATAGCACGAAAAAAGTTTTGTGATGTGTTCTAGACGATTAGAATTAAACCAACACATTTATCTGGTCGACTAATAACCAGGTGTTTAGTTCTCACAGTATCAGATAATTGGGTTTCGTGCTCATTTGAAATTAGGCGTCTACTTGTTGGCCTTTTATTTACATATTGATTCCAATAGTGCACAATGATAATTTTAAATTCTTCAAGATGCTTGTTTGGATGAGATTGTCTGTTCAGTGAATCAAATGTACGCACTGGATTTCACCGTTGTGTTCGGTGGCTTGTCAAGATGTCTCAAAACTTTTTTTCAAAATACGTCTATATAGAGGACGATAATTTTGATAGGTTTGGTTATGACAAACCGTTTTCCTCCCTATTTCATGTGCATGAGGTTAAAATAAGTTGATAGTCGAAGACTTACTTGTCTGATAGTAAATAATGAGCAATTAGAGAGGCTTGAAGAACGTTTAGTTTTGTTCATGAGGCGCTGGTAGGGTTATTTGAATTGCAACGTATTTCAAAATGATACTTCAGTATTCCCCATGGATTAATAAATGAATGTTATAACTAGTGAAGAGCTTGTATTTTCTGGCAAAGACAGGTAATATAGTTTCCACATGCAAGGTCTCACACATTAGACAACAAATTACTACTCGTCGTCCGACACTTTTTATAAAATTCGTTGATCAAAGAGTTCGTCACCAAATTGATTTTATACTAGAAATAAGATAAGAAAATATGGACAAATACATTCTCTATCATCCTGATGATACGTGCGCCTATTCAAAGTGGCAGACTTAAGATGTTTGTCATAAACCAACCCTTTTGGCGCTGTACACACTACGTTTCAGTCATACTACCAATCTTAGTATTATTGTCAATCTATGAACAGAACAGGTTTATTTATTACAAAGACATACTAAAAAACATAATCTTGAAAATCTGCTTGATCAGAAGAACTGTTTCTTTAAGTGTTGTTTTAGGACTCATAGATTGCTGATCATTTTTAGTAGAGCATCAAAAAATAAACAATTTCTGTTGTTTTACATAACCATCTTAATAAAATATTTAACATCGAATTTCATCATATTGTGGTGAATCTGTATCCACTGGCCTCCGGTTTCATAACTACCCTGAATTCCAAAAGTTTTACAGGTGGTGCACTGAAAATAAATTCAAAAACATGGTGAATATGAAGTTATTGTATTTCGTAACAAAGAAGCTGAGTATTTTGAGCAAGTCCGAAATGTGATAGTCAACTTCAACCTAACTAAACTTATGAGTGATAGATTAAGCAGTAAATTTATCAAGCGACTGAATATCAAGATAACTTATTCTTTCTTATTAGTTCACCTTAACTACAACTGAAATTATACGAATCTCGTGTTCAAATAAACTTATTTAGACAGCATTTCTAAAACCATTTCCCTGAAAAATCTTGACTCAATATTCTTTTTCTGGGTTTTGGCAAGAGGGTTGGTTCAAATAATCTTATGCGATAATAAATCAGTTTCGCGTCAATGGACACGTAAACGTGTACCGTATTTAAATGTTGGTTTCAGTGACCTTAATATTTCAGCAGTTCAGTAAAACAAAACAACGTGTGTGAAACTATATGCTTTTTTGTACACACGTATTTTCTTCTTCATTTTTAGTTCATTTGAACGTCAAAGTTTTTCACTATTACTTAAAAAATCTTGCTAGTTTAACAGCCTTTTATCTGATTGGTTACTGGTAGACACTAAAGTTATGTGTATTTTCAGCACCACTCTATCCTTAATGTTATACTGACATGTTTTTAAACATTGATAATTACAAGCATTTGTAACTATTGTTGTTAACTACCATTTCAAATGTCATATTCTAACATAAATAATTCTACCTTGTCGCGCTCTTTTGAGTCTACTAATGACAACCTTCGCTCAAGATCAAACTCTCCGGCGCATACTATTGGAAGCAAGACTGGTAGCGCGTTTATTCAAGATAGTCATAGCATTAGTAGTACAAAGAGCGTCAAATCATACCCTAGGAAAGGAACAACACTTGCGAATGCTAATCTTACTGTTGAAGAACAAAATCATTTGGAAGAAGTGCTTTCACGCTTCGATAAATTTCGGCAAATTGAAGACAAACGTGTGAGGTAGGTATACTTTTTTAAAATCCCTTGGTTTTTATCAGCATTATTATCACTAAACCAGTCTTGGTGATGTATCCATTCTACATTTTACGTTTATTTATTCCTCAAGATAAAAATGGTTTTACATATTGATGTAAAATATTTAACGAATTGATTGGTTCCCTGTCTATTCGTGTAAACTTTCTGTGATATCCATGGTTTTAGGCTGAAGGCGTTTTTTATTTAGTTTATCTAATTTTATTTCATATTTCTAGCAGCACAATGACCGTGACAATTCACTGACCATCATGTAATAATCTCCTTGACATTTTCCATTATTTCTTGAAGATAAATTTTATCATACATTTGGTGTAGTTTTCTTCTATGTTATGTCGAAAGGTTCATATTTCAGAATAATAAACGCAGAAGCCGATGGATGATAAATCATTCTAGATTGTCAACAGATTTAAATTTTAATTATTGGTACAATTCCAGTTTATATGATTCGCGTTGGGAACTATTTTAAATCCATGAAATCCCCACTTTTCATAGATGAATTGTTAATCGCGTTAAATATAACAACAACATATTCAACCAATTATCCAAGTTGACAAATAAAATTCATTTTATTTACCATTTATCGCCAACAAAATATGATGTTATATATTAATGATCCTCGGTCACTTGCCATACTATCAAGGTGTTTTTCTAGTTAAAATAAATTCATCTTTGAGCTAATCATTTTATTTTAGCTGCTAGTTCGACCTATTTATTCACGAGGTTAGTAATATTCAAAAACTATTAGATTTTGACCTTGTGTAGAAGTGACAGCTGAATTCGAAATTATTTTGAAGAACAGACCTTATCAAATATAATTAGGCATGACAGTGGAATCAAGCACTTACTCTAATCCAACCGTTTTATGTTTATTTTATTGTCAAAAATTTATATTAGTTATCTAAGAGATATTAAGTCTTGGTCAAAAAGCCTTTGAAGAGATCATTAAGATTATTTCTTGATGAACAGATCCGTGTATCGAAAAGGATAGCAGCCTATTAATAATCCATACGAAGAGATTTAAGGAAACTGTTAATATTTGTAAGGGCAGATGGAAGATAATGAGAAAAACTAGTAGTTAACCAAAAAAACGATGTCAAAGTAGGCACACGCTTCATGAACTGCTTTCACAGTGTTTCACTTTTTAAAGTTTGAATATATTACTGTCACAATATTGATTTATTGTACATTTTTATACAATTTAGCTCTTTCACTAAATGACATACATCAATCAATTACCCATTGTCTATCCCGGTTTCGATACACTACTCGATTTGCCTTTTATTTTTGCTAAAGAAGGAAAATATATATAATTTACAAAATGAAGTAAATCTATGAGACTTTTCTATTCCTATTCTGTAACAATTAGGCGGTATTTTAGATATCGTTTATTTGAGTTTTGATAAAACCAACGTTTTCTTCTAACTTTACTAAACATCTCGATAATTCGAAAATTGCTTATCAATAAATAGTGTCTCGTATAAATTAAAATGGATAAATGTCTATGTATTATCACCTTACGGTTTTACTAAAAGTTATCAGGAAACGTTATTATTTTGGGAGATAGAAATTTAGTCCAGTTGTCAATTAAAAGGATATTGAGTAAGATGTTAGGTTACGTTAAGGAATGTAAAAAGTCAATAGAGTCTGTCTTATTCTACTATAAAACACCATGAAAGAGTGTTGCAACTAAAAATGAAAATTATAGAGGTTAATTTGTCAGTATCACTTTTAAGTTGATAAGATAATTTCAGCAGTAAAATAAAGTATGACTCAATCAGTTGGGTATTAATTTTCAAATAAAAAGTTCAGAAATAAAGTTAGTACATGGTTAGTTTGAAAATACTTTTTTTATTAGCGCTAATTCTGTAAAATTAATCTTTTGGTGTTCAATAGCATTCAGTGAATCTCAAAGTTTGCATATTTGTCAGCTTAAGTATTGGACAAAACACACCGACCACTGAATTCATTTATATTTTAGACTCCTTGAAATCAAAATAACATAAACGCACACCCCTGGTTTGTTCATATTTTGATAAAAAGTTTTACGGGATAAAGTTTTTTCGAATTTATCGTCCAACTTTTTCGTTTATTCAACTATTTTTACATTTATGGCTCACATAACGGACTGGCTATAGTTAGGCAACCATTAAAAAATTAGTCAGTGTTTGAAAACTTTCAGCCCAATAAAGGAATCCTCATTAGTGTGCATTCGCAAACTGAAGACCGAACTCAGGATTTCTTGGTCTCATAGCATGCTCCTAAACATTTAGACTAAGGAATCGGGACCAAATGATTCATATTCCTAACTTTGACTAGTTCTATTTTGCTTCACTAGTTATTTAACTCATTAATATGCATAAGATATTTAAAGGTCGGTAATCCCAACCGATGGCTAAATTTATTATTACTTGCAGCTGTGTAACTGGCTTCATTATGTCGAAGATGATCGCGTTTAAAAGTAAATATTAATACTTCTGTACTACCAATATTACTATCATTACTATTGTTAATTTTCATATCAATATAAGGAGTTATTAGACAACAATATGTCTGGATTTCTTAATAAAGTCATAGGAACTTAAGGTAGTAAAATCTCATCTAAGTTTTAGATTGTTTTCAGTATGCATTCGTCTCTATTTTATATTTTTACATTCGTGAAGTTATCTTTCCGATCTCTTATTAACGTTTGACTTTTATCCAAGTTTATAGGATATTTAAAATGTTCGATTAACTTGTGGTGTCTTTTTTAATGACACAACAATTTTCTATCTTATTACAGGCTACTATGCGTAAAATAATCATAAATATGATCACACAGTTTAATAAATGATGTCTTCGAAAATGAAACTTTATTCGCTGAACTATTTTTATTTTATTTGATGACTCCATAGGTTTCTAGTGTATTAATTGTAAACTGAAATTAAAGCGAGTAAACTCGGACTAAATATTTTCAATAAGTGGATATTTTTCAACAGAAATAATTGTACCTTTGGGGGTAAAATTTTGTTATACAATAAATTCAAATTGTTATAGGTCGATGCACGCAACTGGCTAGTGATATTCGAGCCTGATTTACTTCTCATTAATATTGTAAGTTTAGACAACCATATTGGATGTTTGAATTTAGGTAAGGTTTGAAGGACTAAATCACTTTTACAGATATACAATGATTAAGTACCGACAACTGATGTGATTTACAATTTTCGTTTAATTATTGGATACTGTTTAATAATTTACTTTTCAATTGCATAGATATTTAATTTGATAAAATTTAGGTAATTAACCTTATTCAACATACTTGGTTTGGATTAGGAGGGATCGGTTAATGATTATAATGGTCTAGTGTATATCAAAGATTTTGTAAGATTAGTAAGTAGGATTAACTTTTCTAACTGAATTACAATTGGATATTTCAATAAATTGAGCGCACACACGTCAAATGCGCTTACTAAAATTATGTTTTCCTTCCGTTATATACACCTGGAAATATCGATATTCATCCAAGCATATGAGAACGTTTGATTCTATAAGTATTTTAGTTCCATGTTTTTATTGTTGCATTTTACGTTAATTATTGTATGAAAGTGATATACTAAAAATTTATGTCATTCGGTAGGAAATATACATTTTATGATTTAAGGTAGCAGCACTAATTACGGTAGTGATGAAAATTGTTATTCTTGTGACCATTGAATTACGGAAATTTCTTTTCTAGTAAGTTATATATATATATATATATATATATATATATATATATATATACGGTGTATTTACTGTCTAAAATTCTATTATATACAATCTTTTATACATCAAAAGTTTGTAACAAAAAATTGTTTCTTCTGCAACTTTTCTATTCTCAAGTCACAGTTAATATGTCATAATTATTGTGTAAGTCATCTAGTGTAGGTAAAATGCAAGTCTGTTAATTCATAAACAGATTAACTAAAGCAGAAAATAAGTATTTAAGTGATAGATTTCATCACTAATAATCCATTCAGCTTGAAACTGGAGATTGTCCAAACTAATGGTGATTTATTTGATTACGTAATTAATAAATCACTACTGAATGTGATACTTATTGGTATAATTGGATGATTCCTCTTTCGACGTTTTTAAAATGTAGTCCTTTCAACTTCAAGTAAGTGTGTTCATTCTGTTATCGGTATGACTTTCTTATCGTTAACTTTTAACTTAAGAAATAAATTCTCTAAACTGATGTCTAACAAAATACAAGGATATAATAGATGTGTTTGTACATGTTAGTTAGTCTACGAAATACAGTATTGTGATGGCTACAGTCTAGTTGAGGTTGTTCTGAGTGCATAACATAAGTAAGCTAGCTAGTCATTACCATAAATTGAAAATATAGAATTTCGCACCGACCGTGTCTTAAATATGAACAAAATGCATTATTGGTAAATTTAGAAAAAAAGTCATACAAGAAGAGATAAGAAACTTTTATGCCTGGTGATGAGTTTTAATCAATAGGTTAAAATTATACATAAAAAAGTCAATACAAATTAAAAATCGTTTTGTTTTGGTTATCGTGATTATAATTATAATAATAACAATAATTACTGGTAAAAGTTTACTGCAAAATTATAAATACGAATGTATTATTCGGAACAGGAATATCTAACAGGAAGGAGTACAAATCTTCATGATAGTTATTTTAATAAATTTATTAGATCATAATGATGTTATATGACTTGCTATATCACCTTCGAAACATACTTAAGAGTAGAGTCTTCTTTTTGACTGTGACAGTTTGTGTCTTGCTTTTAAACTGAGGTACATACTTTTTTGTAGAATTAATAGGGTATCCATTTTGCATCGGATAGTAGTTACAAAGTGGATATTAATCGTGTGTTTGGGTAGATACCTATTCAGTTTCTCTGTTGAAATTGATATCGCTATGTTCCTTTCTTACGGTTGTTTGCATATAAGTTCGATGGTTTATATCA